GCAGAGGAGGTGGCCTGGGTTTCACCAAACTCTACTCTGGACAGTGATCTACGTGTCAGAGAATGACGTGGGCCACACAGTGGTGTTCATGGTTTTATTCCCCCTCTCCCGATGATTTGAAAACATGAGAACCACCCAGACGGCTGCATGGTTTTATCCCCCCCTCCCCCGATGATTTGAAAACATGAGAACCACCCAGACTGCTGCATGGTTTTATCCCCCCCCCCGATGATTTGAAAACATGAGAACCACCCAGACTGCTGCATGGTTTTATCCCCCCCTCCCCCGATGATTTGAAAACATGAGAACCACCCAGACGGCTGCATGGGGCAAGCAGAAGGTAGTGGCAGCACTAATTTGGGTCCCACGACTCTCAGTACAGACCCCGAGGGTCCACTGTCCTTCCTACTCTTACTGTCATTAGCAGTAAGGTGTCACTTAATTGAACAACCTCGGTGCTCTGCTCCTAGATGAACCCTCTAGTGTATCCTGACATGTGTAGCCAAGCTGCCACCACACAAGTCCAATGTGACATGTTTCCAGTACTCAAAAACGCTCCTTCAGAGTCTCCACAAAACACCCCATCACATTGTTGTTGTGGAAGTCCTGTGTATATGTCAATAAATTACTGCTGGCCAATAGGAATCTAGATAGGTGGGGCTAGGAGTCCAGGAGGATTCTGGGAAGGAGAAAGACAAGGGAGTCAACATGTAACGCCATTGGGGGTAGGAAGCCTGGAACTATTCTCCGGTAAGAGACAATTTGGTGTCGGGAGCGGGATTGAAATCCGGATCCAGGCGCCCCGGAAAAGCGGCTTCTCTTGGCCCGACCAGGCACACGTGGACTCTCCTTTCGCTAAGTTCCTCACTACTTCGCTCGGCAAGGCACGATTCCTGCCGCCAGGAACCAGCACCTTCTACCTGCCGGTAAGGTTAGGCGGAATTCCAAGGTTTCTCTCGCGGCCACGTGCTGTTTTACTGGCGGCCAGCTGACTCCGGCCACGTGCTCTTTCGCTGGCAGCCTGTTGATTTTGGCCTGAATTACTCCATTGGTAACAAACGTAACTGCTTTATACAATGTCAACAGCTAACACTATGATGCAGGATGTTAAGAATTTTCTTGTTTTTTGTATGGATGGGATTTTAGAAAGGGTTGAGGACCTACCTGAAAGGTGCTTCCTACCCATGATGGTGATTATTAGCTTCATAATCAATATAATTTTGTTAATGAAATGGCTCAAAAATAGGAATAAACTTATACAGGTCATACAGTCATCGCAGGATAGTTTTGAAATCTTAATACAAAGGATTCAGGAAATGCAAAATTCATTGCAGGAGAGTAAGAAAGGGTTGGTAGAAAATATTCAGGATATTAAAAATGATAATGTAGGTCTGACGAACAGGTTTAAAGAGACGGAACACAAAATTGAATTATTTTCAGGAAAAATGTGTTCCATAGATAGAATTGAAAAATTGGAACATAATGTGGAAACATTTAACGACAAACACGGTTCCATGTTTGATGATTTCACTAGCAAATTACAAAGACTGGAACATAAAATTGAAATGCTAGCAGAAAAGAATTGTTCCATGTCTGAGAGCAATGGTAAACTAACTGATAGAATATCATTTGTTGAAGGCAGTTTACATGCTATTGAGGTACTTGCTAAGGAAGAGAATATTAGAAATTTGGAATCACATGTAAATGATGAATGTAAAAAAATGAAAGATTCCATGACATCCTTAGAAAATCATTTGTCCCAAGAACTTCAAGAGCTCAGAGAAACAATGAGGAATAGACTGCAGGATTTAGAAGACGCTCAATCTGATACTTCAGAATCAGAAATACAGGCAACAGGTCAGGACAGGAGTTTCCCAAAGCTTCTCAAATGCCGGAATGATTTCCCTAAGGTTGCTATGCGTTCCCCTATGGTTTTTCCAGTATCTGTATCAGAAAAACCAGCAACGAAAAAACAATCAAATGGTCCCATTGCTTATCACTGGGAGCCTATACAGATGAAGGATCTAAAAAATATTAAGGAGGCCATTGTCATGTATGGTCTTCATTCTCCCTTTGTCAGAGAGCTCCTAACCTCATGGGCTACTGTAAATAAAGTAACCCCAAAAGACTGGGCCCAATTAGCCTCTGCAGTGCTCGAAAATTCTTGCCAAATTCAATGGAGGGCTTTGTGGAGGCAAGAAGCAAAAGCAATAGAAATTCAGGAATTACAGAACGGTCATGAAGTACCCCAAGACAAGATTCTTGGGGAGGGTCCTTACGCTGACACGCAGGTTCAATCTGCATATGATGAGCACATGTTGTCTTTGTGCCGTACAGCTGCTTTAAATGCCTTGGATAAGGTTTGTGAAACAGGAGAGATAATGCAACCCTACACCAAGGTATTACAGGGCCCAAGGGAAAGGTTCACTGAATTTTTAGAGAGATTATCCAGAGCAGTAGAGGTACAGGTAGCGAACCCAGAATCCAGGCGTCTCCTTATAGAATCTTTGGCGTATGAGAACGCGAATCCTCAATGCAGGCAGGTAATTTGGCCATTAAAAATAAGATCAGCGCCATTGGAGGAATGGGTTCTGCATACAGCGAACCTGGAATGTAAAAGTCAGGATACAGGAGCTTGGGTAGGTGAAGCTATTTCTACAGGCTTGAGGAGGCACCAGGATGCCAAATACCCTACCTGTGATGATATAGAGGCATGGGTAGGGAAGGCAATCTCAAAGAATTTAAATAGGCGTAAAGATCCAACATGCTTTAACTGTGGTAGAATAGGACATCTTAGTAGGAACTGTAGACAACGCATTCCTAGAAATAATGCTTTTACCAGGAATGCATCAAACAGAAGGCCTAAGCCTCCTGGTCTATGCAGGAGGTGTGGGAAGGGGCGCCATTGGACTGATGAATGCTATTCCAAAATAGACAGACAAGGTAGATCTTTAAAGCCAACCGAGCCCCGAAAAGAGATTATCCGGTCATTCCCAGTGACAGTGGAGGACAGCCTCTCCCAGGACAATTAGAAGATCCACTGCCCATTGTAAATAATACGGCACTGGATAATACATTAGCTCCAGAGGATGAATCAATTATATCAGGAGGAGGAAGATAACAGCCCATCGACAAATTCATAGTCCACCATGGGTAAAGTGACCTCCTAAAAGGAAAGAGAAGTGTTTTGTTTTTGTATTCACAGGTAAACTCAGCAAAGAATACTGGACATATGGATTCCTGTAGAAGAATGAATAGCTACCCTGAGGACCATCAAACAAACAGTATCTCACTGTGTGGTATCAAAGTCTAAATCTCTCTATATTGTTTTTTCATAGTATCCTTTTATCTTTATTTCTTCACATACCTCAGTTCCCATTCATTTAACTGAAGCTGGCTTTGGAGTTGGATTGGCTCTCCTACTCTAAACCCAAGCATATTATTTAAATACAATTCAGAATTTCTGTATTATATCAAAGAGCCATTGATATAAGACAGAAGAAATAAAAAATGAGGGACTGTTATCTATGGATTTCTTTTTCTGAACAGTCTAATTTCCTCCAGGTTTTCCATCTTCCCTATTGTCACCTCTTCTGTATGCTTACATATGAAAGTTAAAATATTTCTTTGTTAACAGTAATGTTTGAGTTTTCCAGAGAACAAGGGATTTCCTGACAGCAATCTTCAACTGCTTCCGAAAGAGAATGAGGATCCACTTCCTTGACTTCACCTGATTCGACTGGAGGCATCTGAATTGCCCCACATCATTGACTCCACCTGACAAGCACTATCCTGAAACTGGCTTGAAACTACATCACTCTACACAACTCCGGACCAAGAAACTGAAATAGCACATCTTCTACAATCTGACCAGAGCTTCAAGATAAGAGCTTCAATCAACACTAGAACCCCAGTCAGGAACTTCAATCAAGCATCTCCTGCCATACTGAGACTGTCTGATCTACTCAGATTTTGTTATACTAACATTTTCTTTTCACAGGTCCCCATGAGATTATCATCGTCCCATCTCAGCAGGAAGTAGTTTTGAGAATTCCACGCCCCCTCTCCCTACTATTGATATTATAAGTTTACACCTGTTAGTGTTAGTTTTCAATTATTTTAGAGTTGGGATTGGAAGGAGGTGTTCATATTTGGGTGTTTCTTTAAGATAAGTTTAGGTTTAGATAGAATAGATGTTTGATACATTTTGTTCATGGACACAAGTTAGTTGTCCTTTTTTAGACTAAAAGGGGAATTGTAGGAGGAAGTCTATGCCGCCATGAAACATGTGACTTACTAGAGGCGCATACAGATGAGGTAATAAAAGGGCGGTTTACCACACCGCTAACCACACCCACTTTAGGCAGGACTAAAGACGTATACGGCTGGACATAAAGACGTATACGTATGTAGGCAGAACTACGTCACTAGCCAAGCCCACTTTTGGGCATGGCTAGGGGCGTTACTGGGGAAGGCATAAAAGACAGCGCACAGGAAGTCTCGCTCTCTTTTCCTGGAGTTCGGCTTCCGGTCCAGTCGCTAGCTGAGATCTGCTGGGCTTCTCGGGGTTTGGTATCTTGTGAGTAATTTTCTATATAAAATACTTAGCCTTATTTTCAGTAATTGTGTGTCGCGTATCGTTACAGCGTCCGTAAAGCCAACATTACTTCTATAAATAGGCTCTACCCAGGCTTTCCTCAGGTCTGAGTTTTGTGTGTGTGTGTGTGTGTGTGTGTGTGTGTGCGTGTGTGTTGTGTGTTATACGTGGCAGAGAGATGGGGCTGTGCACCCGCTGAAATTACACAGCAGAAAGAAACCCAGAGGGAAGGCTACATTTGACATGAACTTTGAATGCCACCAGCAATTGCAGCATTCCAGAAGAACATCTTACTTTGGGTGTGGGGATCCTCGATCAGAAACAGGGAAAGGTGGCTCCACAGACACCTGTTTATCAATCCAGGTAAGAGTGTCACATGAGGACACTGCCCTTACTTCCTTACCTGGGCCAAGGTGAGGGTTGCTTGTCTGCAGGTGCCGCACTGAACTCGGAGCTTTCCAGGCTGGACTCTGTGGCAGGGGCCTTTGCAGTACACATAAAAGCTGTTATAGGTAGGTTTGACTGCTGGGAGAGAGAGAGAGAGAGAGAGAGAGAGAGAGAGAGAGAGAGAGAGAGAGAGAGAGAGAGAGAGAGAGAGAGAGAGAGAGAGAGAGAGAGAGAGAGAGTACCCAATCAGTGCTAGGTCAAACTGAGCCAAGACACCCTCCATAAAAGCCTGTTAGAGGCAAGCCACGCAACTAGCTCCTCAGGGACGTGTGAAATTAGGATGAACATTTCAAGGAGGAGATGGCCATTTAGAAAACTTGGTTTTATGTTGAAAAGTGTGGAAGGCCTCTCTTGCCAACAGCCCTGTGACCTACGCATCAGAGTTCACAGCCCGCTGCTGCCAAGAGCTGGGCCAGAGCGCTTGCTGCACCAGGAAATTAAATGCCGTCTTTGCTGCCAAAGTCTGGGATGAGGACAGGAAATTCTCAGTCTGGGAAATGCAGAGGCTGCTGCCCTGAATTCTTTTTCATGCTTCTGAACACAGTAGCGAAGACTCAAGATCTGTTTCTCTTAGAATCATATCTGCACAGCCAATCCAGCCTCTCCCTCATAATGTGAGTGACTGGACCACAGCTGTTGGGTTTCTAGGGAACACTTGCCAAAAGCCAGTAACACAAAAATAAGAGCGCAGAATGCAGCCTGTGCAGAAGTGCAGCCATTACAGCTGTGCATCTGTGCAGAAGTGCAGCCCCTGCAGCTATGCAGCGGTGTGTAAGTGCAGCAGCCTGTGCAGATGTGCAGTGAATGCAGATGCACAAATATGCAGATGTGCAGACTGTGCAGCTGTGCAGTCCATGCAGACGCACAAATATGCAGATGTGCAGCCTGTACAGCTCTGCAGTCCATGCAGATGCACAAATATGCAGATGTGCAGCCTGGGCAGATGTCCAGCTGTTCAGATATGCAGCTGTACAAGCTTTGCATTTTGCTAACAGTCTCTCTAGCTGGACAACTGCCATTCAAACAGAGTATTCCCAAGCGTAAAAGGTGCACATAAAAGAATCCAATCAAATCATTTCTCTCAAGTGTTAATATACTCAAAGTGTCACTCCTTAAAATAAGGGAGCCTCATGGATAGCTTAGGCTTCTGTGTCTCTAGAGACTCGAATGGAAGCTCTTAGGGTACAATGATTGCTTTCTAAGTTCCTACGTTTCCAAACTTGATACGTTTTGATCATTGTGCTGGGGTGGGATACCAAACTGCCATGATGTAAACATGTGCTTATATTTTTAATCATTGTCAGAAGCATCTAGTAAGAATAAGTATTTCTTATGATCCTGAATGCAAAGTTCAGTTACTCAAATGCATATAGTTGACTAAGAAGAGTTCAGGGATAAAGCTGCAGAAGACCATACCACGTTTGTTTCCTTGGCTTTACTAACTCTGTGCTGACAGAACTATAAAATAGAAAATGAAATAAGGAGCATTCTGTGCATTTTCAATATATTTTATAACGGCTGCTCCTCAGCACTGAATAGCTGTCAGTGTGAAAGGGAAGGCAGACTATCACAACATGTTTGTATTGATGCTGATTATCTATTTTGACACCTCTCTGTAGCTTTAGCGCAAAATATCCAAGTTATGAATATTGCATTGTTATCAGCAAATATAATTATCACATGAAATATATGGAGATCATAATTGAAACACGGAGCCACGAGTCAACGTTACAATAGTTATTAACGTAGTAGATGACTGACTATCGAAAGATCACAGGAACTGTGACAGTGCTAACCTGTGTTAACCCTGTGAAGGATTTCAAATATCCTCACTGTTACAACTTATCAGCAATGGGAGAAAAAATCGAGTCCCACAATTTTCATAACCCTCTGTGAAGCTTTAACAATAAAAATAGAGAATGGATCAAAGAAAAGCCAGAGCTTGCAAAAGGGGAGTCGGCTTTAGTCGGTGCACTGTGGGCAGAGGAGATTACCGGGTGCTCATCATTAAAAGGAGGTTGGCCCAAGTGCTGGGCCTGCAGACTCCGCTCTTCCTGTACAGCAACAGCAGTGTCTGCGGTATTGTTTCAGCTAATGATGCATCAGGGGAAGACAGGAGCCTTTCCACCTCTGCGTGCTTCAACCTTCACCAAGTCCTTGAGAAGCCACTCACAAAATGCTGCATGCCATGGTTGTGCCCTGGAAGTCCACGGGATGACACGCAATCCATTACACCGTGCTACCCGGAGCCAGCCGGTTAATAGCCAGTCTAAGGGAGATCAAGGTCAGGGCAGTCCTGGCTGGAGCACATTTCAAGCTGTTGGCTCCATTCAGGCAGGCAGCTGAGGCTTCAGGTGAATCATGGGAGCCCCTTTCAGAGTGCCTTCCCTACCTTGTTGGCAGTGGGACACAATTTACAGTGGACAGGCTTCTTCGTGTCCTGCTGTGGCCTGGAGTACACTGAGCAGGAATGGGAGCAAATGCCCCACAACCTTGTGGACAGTGTTCCCACTGGCTTGGCTGAAGAACCCGTGGAGAGAATAGCAGGCTGACTCTGGGAAAGCCCTCATAAGCTTCACCGGGCACTCGGCACCTCTAGTCACTAAGGAGCATCCCCCATTTCCATTTCTTTTCAGACCTTAAAGAGCTCTGCTCCTCTAATCCCAAAGTCTTTCCTTCATTACCCAAAGTAACTGAATTAGCTCATTTTATAACACATCCCTCTTTTCATATAACACGCTTAGATCTACAGAAACCATTAAATTGTACACCTTTATTACAGTTTACCAATTGTGGTCATTTTGGCGACCACCCTTCATGCATCTGTATCCCCGATAGATGTACAGTCTTCACACACATACTTCTGACTGTAACTTTTATGATAACCATGTCCATTTTAAATCCTCTAGCATCTGGGTGGTAAGGGCTTTTAAAACACAGAAACCACAGAAGGTTTAAATAGTTTGTCTGTTTCGGTATGTCTAACCATAGACTGATAAGTAATGTTCACCACACATTACAGAGCATTACAGAAACTTTGAAAGCTGTTAAGACAGGATGCTGGGGTGTTGTTGTTGTTGTATAAGCCCCTGGGCATGACACCTCAGAATTCTGAGGCTCCATGGTGAGGCCAGATGAAACCCTGCACGTTCTGAACTTCACCTGACTGCTGATGCCTTCTTTTTATGATGCATCTCGGGAAACTTTTTATCAAAAAATTTATGGAAAAATAACTAAAGGTTAACCTACAGTAACCTAAACTATCTACATCAAGAATTCTAAAATGTTCTTGGAAATTATATGGTGATGGTCATGTTCTGGCTTCCTGTTTTGAGAATTCTGTTCCTTGAGAGTCATAAATAATATCTATCCTTTCTTTATAAAGTCTGCAGGAAATACTGAAGTCTAACTCCACCAAAGTTAATGCTGGGGGCCGGGCGGCGGTGGCGCACGCCTTTAATCCCAGCACTCGGGAGGCAGAGGCAGGCGGATCTCTGTGAGTTCGAGGCCAGGCTGGACCAACAGCCTCCAAAACAATACAGAGAAACCCTGTCTTGTAAAAACCAAAAAAAAAAAAAAAAAAAAGTTAATGCTGGGGCAGCAACAAGCTTCTTGGCTTACTTATATAGCATGAGTACCCCAAAGTAGCTGAGTGAGAGTCTTCTCCCAGTATAGAGATGGCTTCCCTATGAACACATGGATGGAACTCCCTTCCCAATTGACATCCTCCAACTTATATATGCAGATACAGATAGACAGACCCACCAGGCCATGTGCAGTTACGGCAGAAGGTCATGCAAGGGCTGGAAGGAGCGGTTTGAAACTCTGATGAGGGTCCATTGACTCACAGCTCTCTCTCTTGGGAGTAAACAAAGTAGTAATGGCAGATATCTACAAGTAGCTACAACCAATGTGATGAAAATAGAAACTGTTTTGATCACAGACTACATTCTTTGACACCTTCAAGTTGAGCCATCTATAAGTTGACATAAATATTTCATCATATACTGGGAAGGTTAACTCATTATATAATGGTTTTACAAGTATAACATACCTCTTTCATTCAGTTTTTCATTTTATCTTTACAGAAAAGTTAAAACCACAGTGAACCAACATCCTTGGAAAGGATAAATCCTTTTAACTACTGACTTCTACCACTCCTTTGTGTTAAAAATCCTATCATTTTTCTATTGTTTTCCTTGTCTAGTTTTGCCTCAGCAACATAACCATTGACCAAGTTTTCTCTTTATATTCATATTTTCTCTTGGTCTGAAAAAGAATGCTAAAGGTCCTAATAATGTTTACAACTTAAAAAGCCCATATTTAAAAAATTACATACTGAACTTGAAAGACAGCAAGGAAGCTGGGCAGTGGTGGCGCACACCTTTAATACCAGCATTCGGGAGGCAGAGGCAGGCAGATATCTGTGAGTTCGAGACCAGCATGATCTACAAGAGCTAGTTCCAGGACAGCCTCCAAAGCCATAGAGAAACCTTATCTCAATAAATAAATAAATAAATAAATAAATAAATAAATAAATAAATAAATAAATAGAGCAAGGAAGATACACAGGAATATTTAGAGAAAGGAAAGGGAAGGGAGAAGTGATATCATTAAAATCTCGCAAGTAAAAGAAAAACCTTATTGTTTGGTTTGCTATTTATAAATCAGCACAATCCTTACAGTTGTCATTTGCAATGACATTTTAAATTTGGCGTTTAAAACCTAAAGAACCATTTTAGTAAAGCAGGTATTCACCCCGCATGAACACATTAAAATATCATATAAAACATTGAAAGGAACTCTGCCTCCATGGAGGCCTTCCTACATCTGCCTCTCCTGACACGTGTGCAAATGGCGCATGGCCAGCAGCCACCTGTGGTTGTAGAGGAAGGGAAACTAGGCTAGGGAATACTCTTTCTGCTTCTGTTAACTTTAAAAGAAACTTCATTTCAAAAGCCTCGTGTGGGTATCACACAGAGGATAATAAAACACAGGCGCGTCTAGCCTCATCTCATTTCCTCTCCAGGGCACAGGGGACAACACCAAGGAAGGAGACGGCCATCTCACCAAGAAGT